GGCATGACTTTAGCGAGGTGTTCAAAATTATGATCAATGTTGACAGGGGTAAAGAAGGATATTCTGTTTCCGTGAGTTGGTATGTCAGTAATTAAGGGTCACAAGTTCAAGTTTGTCAGCAAGGAGTGAGAGGAGGAGAAACTTCTTTACTCGGTGTTAGGATTTGGAATGTGCTGCCTGGAAGAATGCTGGAGGCAGATTCTAAAGGAGGTTTCAAGAGAGAGCTGGATATCTATTTGACAGTGATGAAGTTCGAAGGCTACAGAGATAGGGCTGGAGAATGGGACGAGCTGGGTAGCTCTTCCAGGAGGGCAGAATGGCCTCCTTCTGTACTGTAAAACTCTGATTCTATTCCTTATAGTCACAACGGACTTAAATAAGGAAAATATTCCTTGAAGTTTACACAGGCTAAGAAGTGACTCTAGTTTCTCTCATTAAGTGATTAAACCTTATAGGGGAAAATGTTAGAAACTATAATTAAAGATAATATAACAGACCACATGGATAAATTCAAGGTAACCAGGCAGAGGCAACATGGTTTTGTCAAAGATAAATTACATTTAATTAACTTACTGGAGTTTTTGGAAGTAACAACTTACACCATGGAAAAAAAAAGGAACCAGCTGATGTTATGTACTTAGATTTCCAGAAGACATTTGTTAAGTTGTCACATCAAAAGTTATTATGGAAAATAAAAGCTCATGGTGTTGGGGATAATACATTGCCATGGATAGATGATTAGCTGGCAAACAAGAGACAGAGAATAGGAATGAATGGATATTTTTCAAACTGGTAGAATATTACAGATCATGTGCCATGGGAATCAGTGCTGGGACCTTAACTCTTGACAATTTATGTAAATGATTTGCAAAGGGGCTGAAGGCATGGTAGCTAGATTTGCTGATGACACAAAGATAGATAAGGAAATGAGTTGTGAAGAGAACATAAGTAGCCTACAAAGGGATATAGACAGGTTAAGTGAGTGGGCAGAGATCTAGCAAATGAAGTATAATGCAGGAAAGTGAAATTATCCATTTTAGCAGAAATAACAAAGAAAACATGTATGATTTAAATGGCGAGAAGCTGCAGAATTCTGAGATACAGAGAGGTTTAGGTCTTACTGCTTAGTGCACAAATCGCAGGTTAGTATGCAGAACAAGAAGTAAAAGCTAATAGAATGTTACGTTTTATTACGAGAAGAATTGAATGCAAGAGTAGGGAGCTCACGCTTCAGTTATACAGGGCATTGGCGAGACCTCATCTAGAGTACTATGCACAGTAGTTGTCACCATATTTATGGAAGGAAGTTAATCATTGAAGGTAGTTCAGAAAAGGGTTACTAAACCAATACCTGGAATGAGCAGATTGCCTTATAAGCAAAGGTTAGTCAGGCCTGTATCTTCTGGAGTTTGGAAGAGTCAGATGTGACTTAATTGAAATAAATAAGATGCTGAAGGGACTCGGCCAGGTGGATATGGAAGGGATGTTTTATTTTATAGAACTCGAGGTCATAATTTAAAAATAAAAGCTCACCCACTTAAGACAGATACGGGACATGGGAGCAGAAGTAGGCCATTCAGCCCCCATTGAGTCTGCACCACCATTCAACAAGATCATGGCTGATTTGATAACGTTCAACTCCAACTTCCTGCCTTCAACCAATAACCCTTGATTGCCGTATGGATTAAAAATCTCATCACTGAATATCCTTAATGAGAGCCTCAACCACCTGTGGTAAAAAGTTCCACAAATTCATAACCCTTTGCAACAAGAAATTCCTCATTTCTGTCTTAAATGTGTGACCCTTTACTCTGGTCCTACACTCTCCCACAAGGGGAGACAACCTCTCAGCATTCATGCTGTCAAGTCCTTGAAGAATCTTCTATGTTTCAATATTACCTCATTCATCTATATTCCAACAATAAAGGCACAACCTACTCAATTTCTCCTTACAAGATCGCCCCCTTCATAGATGAGGAAAAGATTTTCTCTGATGGGTTTGCGCCTTTGGAATGCCCTTCCTCAAAAGACAATGGGTACAGAATCTTTTAAATATTTTTATGACAAAGGTAGATACATTCTTAATTATCAAAAGGATGAAAGTTTATCAGGGGTGTGCAGGAACATAGACTTGAGGTTAAAATCAAATCAGCCATGATCTCTTTGAATGGCAGGGCAGGCTTGAGGGGCCAAACAGCCTGTCATTCCCTGTTCATATCTTAAGAATCTTATTTAAAGTATTTTCACCAAATATATACTTTAATGCCTACTCTTGCTTACATAGCTTTTGAACTGTCCAGTTGGTACCTGCAGTTTGCATGCATATGTGCACCTACTTTTATGAATCTGCAATGTGTACACCACTAAATAAGAGCATATATTCCTGAAGATGGTAACTATCCCAAAGGAACAATTTTAGGCATCCAGTCGGTATCAATAAAAGTCAGATGCACAATGAATTTCTTCTGAACGTAACTTCTAATTTCAGAGAAGTGTCCCTTTTGCTCAAATCTGGAATTTTTTCCCCTAACTCTTGAAGGAGAATGTAAATTTAATGCTGAATTAGGAGCAGTTTTGTGCTGTGCCCACAACTGCTGCGAAATAAACTGAAGTTGCCCAAACTCATTCCACACAAGACTTTTCACAGCAGAGATTTTTAATTTGTTTAAAGATTGGATCTGAAAGTGGAGTGGCTGACTAATCCTCCATACCTCTTGAAAAGCTTTTACATTCTCTCATCCGCTCACCAACCCACAGGGGGAGAACATTAAATTCCTCTCAAAGTCTTGAATTTGAAATGAACGATTATTCCACCCTTCACACCTGTTAATAACTGTGCCCTCTGATTTTTTGGCATCAGTTATGTTTTATAATGCTTTGAATGCATTTTTCAGCTTGCTACATCCTGGTCACTCCCAAAAATTGGACAGACTATGAAGGCCTCCATCTGACCACACAACCTTAAGTTAACTTAACTCAGTGACATGGTCTTAAGTGAGGAATAGTATATATATTTATAAATCACACCTTTGATGATTGCCAGATTGTTGCAGGCAGTGCACTCATGGACACCAAGTGAGAGCTAAACTGCATTTTATAACTGATTTCCAGATCTGCTGTTATCCCTTCAGTTCACCAGCTCCTCAACGCTCAGAATCAAGATGATCTCATGATCAATCCAAGATGACAAACCAGATCCCTGAAAAGGTGTGGACAGCTACGGACTGTGTCCAACAAAACGCTTGTGCCTTAAGGGACAAGAGTATATTAGCAATATAAAAGACAGGAAACAAAATAAAAAGAACATTTTAGCAAACATCAGAATTCAAGCCATGAAACACAATAGCTTGTTCCAATTTTATGCTACCTCTTGTCAAAATGTTGCACATATCCTATTCCTATGCTGATCCTAGCCATCACAGCTACATCCTCTGTGACAATGAACTTGAAAGGTGTATCAGCTGCACTTGGATCATGGCAGAGGAATCAATAGAGACATTGAAGGTTTGCTGGTGAAGGAAGAACTGATGGTGATGGCATAGATTTGCCAATGAAACAAAATAGGCTTGCAGGTGGTTTTTACCTCGCCATTTCTAAACACTATTTGTTAATGTGACACCAAGACGTAAATAAAACAAGATTTCTTGATAAGAATTTAGATTTTATTGATTAATGGTAATTACCACCATATGAGAAGATATGCACTTTCTACAATTTTTAACTTTTACAGCATGCAGATTCAAAAGGCACTTAAAAGTTGCATTTTGAATTAGTTGTAGTTTCCCCATGAGCATGAACAAAATTCTGAAGGGCAGCAGCTTTGGATTTAAGAAAATTTGTTAACGAAATAAAACAAAAAGGAATCACTAGTTTACATGCATTTTTCATTGTGCATAGAATGTCTGAAAAAATACTGACTCCACTGTATGCAAGTTTTATAGTTGATAAATTATTAAAAATATATTGTCACGTACTTTTTTTTTACAAGAATATCAATTGGTCCAAAAGGTTATGCTGTAAGATGGAAGCACAATTCAAGAATGTTGCATCGAGTTAGTAATACAATGAAACTGGAAACTAAGTTAAAACATAAGTTATTTCAAAATAACAACAATGATTCATATCGAATGCAGTCTACACATTGATTTGACATTACTAGGCAGACAGACAAGTTTCTTGTTTCACATCAACTCCATCTTCAAGATTTTCAGGAGGGAAAGGGAGAAAGTGTTAATTTATCATTGTATAGGGTTTGATTGATGCTCATGTCATTGAAACAACCATTGTTTACATATGAACCCAGATACACTACTAAAACTATTCGGTTTCAGACCCAATACAATTCAGGTGAGCATGCACACTTACATCTATGAGAGATTGAACAGGAGTGGAAAACCTGATCAGTAAATCCTCCCTAACCGAAGACACTGAAGCTACTGCAGCACTCTGATATCAAACAGCTAAGTCAGTGCACGTTAAAGGTCAGACAGATTCTAACGGTACAGCTACTCATTGCTTCACGAAATTTGTAGACAAACCAGTCCAGGAATATGCTGCTTAGGTTTTTTCAACACACAAATAGGACAAAAATATCCTGTTTTGGTGATGATTCACAAATAATATGAATTGGCAATGTTGCAGAATTTTAAGAATATTGCTTCCTATTTTCAGGAATCAGTAGCTACTCATGTTAAGACTCAACTTTTATGGAAAACAGTCCTTCGTATTAGAATTATTTACAATTTGAAAAATTGCAATCTGAATAATTACATGACAAAATCACAATTGCCTCAAAAATATTTTCTAAGTTGGCTAAAACCTATGACTATAACATTTTAATTTATTTAGTAAACGAAGACCAGCGAATTAAAGACACACCCTACAAAGATAGTTTGATTTAAGTTGATGAGATTTTTAAAATTTAGCTTTCCCAAAGCCTCAGTAGCTACAGTAGACATCAGATACAAAGCAATTTGTAATAAATAAACACATCTGGTACGTTTCAGATAAACTTTTTATGCTGCAGTTTATTGTATGTCTTAATACAAATGCTTGTATGCAAGTATATACATGTCAGCTGAAGTTGCAATTTAAAATAATTTTTGCTGGTGATAGTCGTGTGGCATAGTGAATGAAGTCAATTGAAAAAGAAAAGCCATAATATAAAAACAGTCTTGACATCTCAAAAGGATATAGTTATTGATAGTCATTTGTATTGCAACGAGGTATATACATTGCTTACATACCTACTCCTATCCCTAAATATGCCCTAAGAAAAGAAAACAAGCTATTATAGGATAGATAGTCGAGATGTTCTGAAAACTCATCTGGAATTATTTACTCGCCCCTTCAGATGGTGCATGTTAAACATGCACCATGTCTGTCAGCTGTTTGTATCTTTATCTAAGTATTTCACTATTTACTGCAGAACACCTATATAATGTGTGTTTATATTATGTACATGATAAATGCACACACATTACATGCAGTAATTTTATCAAATATGCATTTTAGTCTGGATGAACAGCCCGCGTGTAAAACAGGGAAATTTTTAATACATTTTATACTGGGTTTAAGTTGGTTTGTTAAAGTATTTAGTGAGAGGCGTTTTCTTGGCAAATCTCAATAATATCGTCAAAGGAATAACCTCAAACCCTGAAATGGCCAAATGCCAAGGTGGTGCGTGGAAGAAGTAATGTTGAAGTTTCATACGCCTCAAGTTTGTCAAAACCTATGTCGATTTTCAATTATTCCAGTAGAACACAGCAAACAGAATTTCCTGCAAAACCTGGTGAATTTTAAGCCAGGTTTGATGTGTTCTTAGTAATCTGCCACTAGATGTTACTATCATAGTAAAATTAATTTTAATTCTTAAGTAATCTGTCAAACTCCATTGCTGTTGTTCCCACACAAATTCAAGAGGTGGAATTCATGTCTAGTATCAGTTGTTCCTATGAAATAACTTTTGCAAAATTTCAGTGGCTCGGAGTCCACAATAAATCTGTAAAGCTATGGTTATGATAATCTTAAATTTGAAAATTGTTGATGCAATATTTGCAGTACTTTGCTAGAAGTAATTAACACACTGAAGTGTGTCAAACTTACCATCCACATTCAATACAATTAAAAACAGCAGAAAATTACTGGACCAACTTGATCTGTTTGAACACCAGTACCGATCACTTGAAGTGGCTCAAGGTTCAGAATTGCAGATTCAAGTAGAGTTAGACAACTTTTGTATCAAAACATATTTCTTTCAATTGAAAAAAAAATTTAAAAAGGCACTGCATTGAGTTATTGTGATTTTACAATGACTATGTGTGCTGCTAAATTGCTGTGTAGGGCCTATTGCACTGTTATGAAAAACATCTATCAACCATTACAAAAGAATCAGATTATTTAGTTGCATACATTTCCTGGTAAAATCTGCTGCAGAAAATTCCTATAATGATGCTCTATTTCTTCTGAATCTACTCCAATATCACCATTCTTCCACTTACAGAATAGTAACAACCCTGAAAGCATTTTCTAACACAAATAAAGTATAAATTTAAACAAAATGTAAAACATTTGGTGGTATAATTAAGGCGGCAATTAAACACTTTCCTGTCATGCATTTTTGCAAAATTTGTACTCTGGCAGTTTTCAATATGAGAAGTGATCAACAGAATTGCTTGGCTGCATCTCACTGTTAGCCTACCATAAATATTAACATTTATTTAAACTGTATTATAACAACACATTCTCTATATAATCAGCTCCTCACTGACGTTCCCATTGACTAGAAATTGTTACATCAAAACTATCCATCAGTGTGGACTTTTATTTACAACATGGAGAAGACTTCCCTTCAATTTCTCGCTTGAAACTTATTCCACATGATCATCATTTTGAATGAGACTTTTGAGATTAGTCCTATGTTTGCTCTTCAATCCAAACCTGCTCACCCAATGGATAGAATTAAATGCCCTGCCATGAGGTGAGGTGGGGGGCAGGGGAGGTGTCAGGCTACCAGATGGGGACCCTCACTGCCTTCCCACCTTGCTGCCAATTAAGGCCCTTAAGTGGGCAAATAACATCAACTAAAAGGTCTGAATTCACTACTACAGGCATTCAATAAACAGAGAGTGGTTGGGGATGGGGGTCAGCCACCGACCACTTACATATATGGGAGGCCTTCCTCAACGGTGCAACATGGGATGCTTGCTAGGTGCTCTGGCCATTGAGTGATACATTGTTCATCTGCATTAATTATTTATTGAACAAATGCTACAGCTTAATTTGCAACTTACTTGCCAGGTCAGTTAAAGGATGTGGAATGGGCCATTTAGCACCCTGAAAGTGGTGAGCCTGTGGAATTCTCTACTACAGAAAGCAGATGAAAACAAAACAGTGAACGTTTTCAAGGAGTCAGATATTGTTCGTCGGGCTAAAGGGAACAAAGAGTATGGGAGAAAATACAAACAGTCATTATCCTACTGAATGATGCAGCAGGCTTGAAGGGTTGATCGCCTACTGCTATTTTCTATGTTAGTGCTTCAAACACTTTTAAGGCTTTGCTAATTATATTAAAAAGAATGGTCATGGGAGCTGTGAATTAACATCAGCTGCAACTCACTGAATAGCAGGACAGAAGGAAGCTCAGAGGGATCTTGGGGTGCTTGTCCACAGATCCCTGAAGGTGCAGAACAAGTTAACATGGTACTGACGACGACATTCAAGTTCTAATGTAGATTTAGTGTACTTTTGATGGCAGACTTGATGGGCCCAAGGGTCGCTTCTGCACTGTGTAAGTCTATATGTATGAGGACCTAGAGACACTTCACAGTGCTACTGTATCTTTGATTCCACCCCCATCATTGGTGTCGGATAACCTATAAGCTTTGGGGGGAATAAATACCTCACAAAAACAATTTTTATTGAAGTCTTTTATAAATTTTTTAAAAGTAGAATTTACATCAAGCAATGCAATATTATACTGTGTTCTGAATTATTACTAGTTACAGACAAGAGGGACCATTTTCCAATATATATGATATATGTACAACTTATAGTGGCAGTTTTGCAGTCATGTAGTTGAATGACCTGGTTATACGCCACTCTCAGCAAGCGAAGTCACAAGTTTTCTAATGACTAATGACAGTTTCTTAATGAACGTTCCACAGGTAAGGAAGTACAATTATGTTTTTATCTCTCTCTATATGGATTGGGAGTATCTGAATTTGTCAGCATGCCCCAGAAAGTAGCATCTTAACTTACCAGCTCTGGTCACCACAGTTTAGGAAGAGTGTGAGCATCCTTAAGAGGGCGGAAAAGAGATTTGCCACGATTGCAGGGATGTGGGATTTTAGTTACAAATTTAGGTTGAAATAGCTTGGAACAAAGAGATTTGATTGAAGAATACAAGAAGACACAGATTTATGGTTTTGGACAGGAGATGCAGAGGGAGTGTGAAGAGGAACTTTCTAAAAATAGTTAAAGTGGTAATGACTTGGAATTTGCTACTTATGAGAGGTGATCTTACATAGAATTCTTAAGGGGCTTGACAGGGTAAAAGCTGAGAGGATATTTCCCCTCATGGGACAGTTTAGGATGAGAGGACTGTCTCAAAATAAAGGGGTGTCTGTTTAAGACTGAGATGAGGCAGAATTTCTTCTCAGAGGATTGAGTGTCTTTAAAACTCCTGGCCACAGAGAGCTGTAGGGGCAGAGGCAGAGTCCTTGCAAATATTTAGGACGGAGATAAGATTCTTGATCAGTAGGGGAATCAAGGGTTAAGGGGAAATGGCAGGAAAGTAGATGTGAGGAATGTCAGATCAGCCATGATCCTATTTAATGGCAGTGCAGGCTTGAAGAGCTAGATGGCCTACTCCTGTTCCGATTTCTTATGGTCTCATAATGGTAATAAGCAGAAATCATCAATGGCTTCTAAAGAAGGTGGACAGGCACTTGTAACGAAATGAATTCGGAGAACCATGGGAATCAAATCAGGTGACTGGGGCTAGCTGGATTGCTCCAATGAAAGCCAGCATGGATTCAATGGCCTCTACCATAAATAAGTTATTTTAAAAGTGGGAATTTGTATGACTTGAGACGGTGAGCCAGTGATTGAATCGGAGTAGATCTGAGGGGTGTGTGGAATGTGGAGTGTAATATAGTTCTTCTACTATGTTTCTTATCAATGTTGAGGAATTAGGTTGTTTTGGGTGGGGGGGGGAGATGATTTGACAAAGCAGAAATCCTACCAGTTTTGCCTCAATTACACCGCATAAGCCAAGGTGACAATTTCATGTTGGAAGTAGTAATATGTTAGTTTTGCTAATATGCAGAACAGTCTATTTCAAAAAGATGAAAACAAAATCAGCAACTTTTTCCAGAACAGCACATTGTCTAAGGAAGATGTTGCTTCAACATTCCAGTCACCCGTTCCAATGCTGCATAGTTAAATAGTGTCAGAAAAGCAGAGGTTGCTACCCATCTCATAGAATCAACCACTGAGATTTTGATTGGGCCAATATTTGCTACCTAGAAGTCCTTTTTCATCGTTTTTCAAACGGCCGAGAGTGTCTCCTAAGAGTGTCAGGCTCTTAGTTTTTCTGGCTCCTCAATATTGAGCATATAAAGAAATGTGAAATTAAAGAAGCGTGGATAAAGAAGGAAGAATAGGAAATGAAGGGTTCTATATTGGAATCACGTATCATTTCTTTTAGGATCAAGACTTACAACTAATAAAACAAATAATAGCATAAGGTTTTGGGATTGTTTTGAATTTACCAAGAGTATTAAAAGGAAATAAAAGTTCTGCTTCATAAAGAGGAAATACTTTTTATGGGACAGAATAAACTCAACTCTCCCCTCAGCAACACAACAGCTTTTCCTCTTCCACCCTCTAAAGCAAGTTAACTATAGGCAAACGAGTGAAAATTAATTCATGATTTTATTGACTGGATCAGACTTTACAAAGAGAACATTGTTGCCTTCATCTACACATGCTAGGCATGCAATGTTTAAACAATCAAGGCTTAATGTGGCCACTCTCATCACTATAAAAATCCCTATAAATCTTTGAATAAAATGCTCAACCATGAAATCCTCTTTGGGAGGTAGGACAAGTGCATACTATGTTAAATTCTTAATTATCCCTCAAACTTTTAAAATCTGGTGTGGTTTTAAAAAAAGGACATTTAAGTAAAACACGGAGTAAATGTAGTTACTTGAGGTGTTCATTTGTCAGTTGAGTAATAAGAAGTTTCCAAACTGCTTACTTATAAAATCTGCAAATTGCACCTGGACTGGGAGTTGTGAACTTGTCTGGACCTGATTATTTACATACACCATGACTAGAACTACATTCCTGGTGCAGCTAATTGTACGTTACGAGAGGACATTGTTCATGGGCATATTAACTTAAAGGGGCACAGAAGGGAAACATATGATGGCAGAGCTGGAACAATTTCTAGAAGTCTACTAATCAAGTTATTTATTAAAAATATTTCTTTAGCCTGGTTTAGCTCTGTCCCCAACTTATCTACCAAAAAAATCATACCTCTAAGAAGAATCTGTTTTAGAGTTAGTGTTTGTATTGGTTCATGTGACAATTAGGCTTTGGGTTTGTGAATCACACCAAGAGTTGAAGCAACTACAGGTAGTTCTCCCATAACACAATACTTGCGTTATGTGACCTCATGCTATAGAAAAATCACTTTATAGGGAAATTGCTATAGGAAAAAATCACCACACCTGTACAGCAGAAAGTTTGTGTTATACAAACAGGCTCCACTATTTATCAATCGCGTTACAGCCAATTTACGTTAACAAAACACATGTTACAGTATAACTATTGTAGTTCAATCTGAAACTTTTGCATAATACTGAGAGAGTAGTTCACTGTTAAAAGTGCAATCCCATTGCATGAGGCAGCAAATCAAAAGTTGCAATTTCAGATGTGTACCAAGGACCGTGAATTTGGAGAGCAAAGAGATCCCCATGATGTGTATTCCTCCTCTAGCAAAATAAAGTAACAGAGCATTTATCTAAGTCTTTCTTAAAATGGCTGCTATATTTGCCTTAAGACCAAAATCACTGCACTTCAAGGGAACTCAATTTATCCAAAGATCTGCAAGGCACAATAAGATGCAAGAAAATGTACAATTTTTTTTTCCATTTTAGTAGTTGTACCAAGTTTTTCTCTCCAAATTACATAATGTAATTCATGTGGCTCCACAGCTCAGGGTTTGGCAGCAGCTGGGGGAAAAGGTGGTTATAATGAAGATCTGGTACAAAAATTAACTTTTTGGAGTCTATAAAATTAATGAATGAAATCTACAGCAATTTGTTTAAACTTGTAGCCAATGCAAATTAATATCCACAATGAAATGCACCGTTTATGACGTTAAAATTGTGCATTATTACACTCTGAAATTATTTAAATTCTGATTTACCTATGCCAATCTCAACTGTGATCAACAGATTAATCACTTTCCTGCAAGGGGCAAAGAAAGCAATTTTCATAAGCCAAGGTACCCTGGGGCACTTATGAAATCCTACTTCAGGCATATAGAAAGTAGTAGATATCTAGCAACAAGCTCTCCCAGCCTTTGGCCAGTAGAAAAACATGACATATGAACTCCCAAGCAGATGTTTTTGCTGATAGGATGGCAGAAGGGTTTTTTTAAAAAAAAACTGTATGAAGAATCCTATGAATTTTATTAAATCAATTTCATGAATTCAATCAAAAATAGACATTACATCTTTTTATATATTGCATATGATATGCTCATGTGCATTTTTTGATTCGTTAGCTCACCATTATGTTCTTGCCTTATTTAGTTTCGTTAAAAGCAGATGATTTAATTTAAACAAGCTACTGGCAGTTTTATATCTTTTATCACTATGACTACTCAAAATATGTATGGTAAACATTTGCCACAAGATATAGTCAGAAATTTAACTGAATGTAATGTGTTGTCTAGTGGTGAGAACAAAACTTTGTTACTTACAAGCTGAAGAACTGTTTGCATATGCTAAAATATAGTATGTTTATGCTAAAAGTTAACTACATCATATACCACAACGAAGACATTTGGCAATTAAGGAATGCAGTGTCGAAAGTTGTAAACCACAAGAGTACAAATTACTCAGTTTGAATCCCAGATGTAAAACAAACACTTTACCGTTAACCCTTTAGAAACATCCCTGGGGAAAACGGCATAGATAATGCAGTTTAAAAGAAAGATTACTTCAGGCCTTCCTGGAACATATCATACTGCACTTAAATGCAGTCATAAGTTTAAAAGAAGTTCCTTAACCACTACCAGGTCATTTTATTTTCAAAATCACGATTATAATATAACTTAATTTGAGTGGTTCAACCATTTTACAGTCATGTGACAGAAAACAAATCCTGTGTCCTTTATGGTGGCCATCTGAGTGGAATTTGTACATTCTCCCTGTGTCTGTGTGGGTTTCCTCCCATAGTCGAAAGATGTACAGGCTAGGTGGATTAGCCATAGAAAATACAGTGTTACAGTGATAGGGTTGGTGGGCGGGTCTGGGTGAGATGCTTTTCGGAGGCCTGGTGTGGACTTGATGGGCCAAATGGCTTGTTTCCGCACTGAAGGGATTCTATACTGACATACTATCCTCCCCTCAACTTACTATCACAACAAAGTAGGCTTTAAAAGATTGTTGCAATGGGCAGTTATAAACATCACCATCGAGATACTGCTCAGTGCAGTAAATATTCATTACAATAAAAGCAAAATACTGTGGATGCTGGAAACTGAAAAACAGAATGCTGCAGGAACTCAGCAGGTTAGACAGCCTCTGTGGACAGAAAGTGTGTTAATGTTTTGAGTCTGGTGGAGCTCATATTGAGCTCTGAATTGCATCTAAAGGCATTTGCCAATTTATTTTTTTCCCCCTAATGCATTACCTTCCCCCAATTTGTGCTGGTTTTTCCAAGTATATAAGCACAGTTATATGTGACAGATTGTGAAACAAATAGAATAGTTAGAATCAGAATCCCTAGAGTGTGGAAGCAAGCCATTCCACCCAAGTCCACACCGACACTTTGGACAGCATCCCACCTAGACCCACCCCCAAACCCATCCCAATGTCAATCCACCTAGCCTGCACATCCCGGATACTATGGGCAATTCACCATGGCTAATCGACTGTGGGAGGAAACTGGAGCAAACCCATACAGACATGGGGAGAATGTGCAAACTTCACACACAGTTGCCCAAGGCTGGAATCAAACCCAGGTCCCTGGTGCTGTGGGGCAGCAATGTTAGCTATTGAGCCACCATGCTGCCCAGTTATAGTCACTGTTTTATGTTAGATGGATAATTCACAATTTTTTTTATTGCATTTGGAATTTCTAATTGTTTGGGGGAAATTAATTTTGACTGAATAAGCATATAACTAGTTGAGATTTCAGGATTTTTATCCCCATGTTTTAGTGTGCACATTCAGTTAATTCTTTCCACATAATCTGTAAATCAGCGGCCTTGACATTACTACTAAAAGATATATATCAAACACGTTAACAAAGAAATACAGGTAAGAATGTACAATTAGAAAATTCTGAAGTTAACAAAATAATGTGTAGCAAATTGGATATTGTACAAGTACAGAATGCCCTATAAATAAATAATAAACTGTGATGCAGTTGAGAAACTTCATATCTGCAATAAGAAAAGCGTAACTCACATTTCATTTCTAGACAGCTTAACTACTAGTTGGTAGAAGTATATCAATCTCTTTACTGGTTGGTGTAATCAAACTGTTGTTCATGCCACAGATGTTTGTTAAGTCCACTGTGGCAGCACAAACATCCATGGGAACTGCTGAAAGTTTCATGGAGGCTGCAGGGTTTAGTTCATTAGATGGTGTCCCCATTGGTGCAACATGAATTACACCCTCAGTCCCTTCCTCAGAGCCCATCATTGTTCCTTGTTCAGGTGAACATTTCAATGAAGCTTCCTCATGGATCCCTGTTTCACGCCAATTAAAGAATCGTTGAGGTTGAACAGAATTGGAAACACTTGATTCATTTTTAGCAGACAGCCCAATCTGGGAAGGTCCACTATCTGTAGCTGCTCTACCCAGCGGGTGAGGTGATGCAGGTGATTGTGCAAGGCCAGGCTTCTTAGGAGGAATTGGAGGAGGATTGCCTCTGTCCACTCTAGATACTGTCGGCGATTTTATCCCAGGAGCCATTGGACATGGTGGACTCGAGACTTTACTGGAAGTCGGTGAATGATTAACATCACCAGTTGGTGTTTTTGCTGAACTACCCAAATGTCGGTAGTCAGTACCAAAGGGGGAATTATTTGCAGTTTTCAGAGTTCCTGGCTGGCTTGTGAACCTAGAGAGGACTTGGGTTACAGTATTTCGAGCTAACTGTTTGGCTGCTGAACTATCAGAGGTAGTGGGTGACAGATCCCTTGGAGGAGGACTTTGTAATGCACCGGTCTGTTGATCTTGCTCTGCTTGAGCTTGGAATTTAAATCGAGCTGCATGAAACCTTTGGTTCAGCCCAGCCTGGTAGGATGACTGGAAGCTGATGCTGGGGCTTGTTGAACTAGTGAGTCGCTTTGTCAACACAGGTGATGAACATGGGGAAGATGATACAGAGGAAGCAGCTGAAGAGTTCACAGTGTTGCTTGGAGAAACTGAGGTTCCACCTGTGAAATGTGGGACAGCACAAGAAGCCACATTACCACTTCCATTTTCAAGTGAGTGCTCTGGAGATGGAGACGGTACTTTGCTCTCAGTAGAGAAAAGAATATCTACACCATTGCCGTCAGGTGACTGATCATCCCCATCATTAACCATAAATGCTGCGCAATGTCCATTTAGTTGTGGAACAACTGCAGTCGGCGTTGATGATGTGCAGTGTTTTTCTTTTACATCACTTCCATTAGGCACTTTCACATGACCACAATCAGTTTGGCATGAAGGGGATATCGTCTTGCTTTTCTTAGCACCAGCCTCCAATGGAAAGGTTACTTGTGATTTTGGTTCATTTGCTACTACTTTATTGGAACTTTCGGTTTTATTTTTAAACTCTTCAATAACTTGCTTTAAACTTTGCACTTCCTCATTGAGGGCTCGTGCCCGGTTTTCTTCCCGGTTTAGCCTTGCTCGCAGTTGCTCCTTCTCAGTATCAAACTCGGAAAGCTGTTTCTCCATTTGGGCCTCCCTTTGCAAAGCTCGCCGTTTCTCGGCGGCCAACTCCTCCTCTTGCTCGCTGCTTTTGGCCATCTCTTTCTCCAGCTTGAGTTTCAATTCTGCAGTTTTCTGAACTTCCTCTGCAGCCTTGTTGTTTGCTTTTTTGCATTCTTTCATCAGAACAGTGGTTAACTGTTTGTGTCTTGTTCGTTCCTCCTCCAGCTGTGTAGACAGCTTCTTCTGTTCCTTTTCTACCTTCTTCACCTGTGACTTCTCAAATTCAAGCTGTGAGGGGGTATTTTGAGGAAAGAAGAACAACAAAATATAAAATTATTATACTGTAATCATTAATCCGTATTCTTCCAAATCAAAAGAAAACATCTTTCATATTTAAATTGGCACTGACAGCATAAGGTCTGCATCATTGCCAAGAATGGAGGTCAAAGCAGGCTAGCTGTTCTGTTACTTATCATGATGCTGCTGTTTAAAAAATACATCCACAGCTGTATCAGTCTGTTCATCTGCAAATGACTCCATTTCACAGGCAGCTTGTGGCATCGACAGCTGCCACAAACTAAACTGGAGGAAGGCAGTGACAGCTGTGTTAGAGGATTAGGACGACATTAATTAAAATGTGGTATAGGCTTTTTAAAATTAAAACAACATGTAGCTTTTTGAGACAACAAGGTGCAGGGCTGGATGAACACAGCAGGCCAAGCAGCATCATAGGAGCAGAGACGCTGACGTTTCGGGCCTAGACCCTTCATCAGAAAAGGGGGAGGGGAAGGGGGTTCCGAAATAAATAGGGAGAGAGTGGGATGCGGATAGAAGAGGGATAGAGGAGAGGATAGGTGGAGAGGAAACAAACAGGTCGAAGAGGCGGGGATGGAGCCAGTAAAGGTGAGTGTAGGTAGGGAGTTAGGAAGGGGATAGGTCAGTCCAGGGAGGACGGACAGGTCAAGAGGGCGGGATGAGATTGGTCGGTAGGAGATGGAGGTGCGGCTTGAGGTGGGAGGAGGGGATAGGTGGGAGGAAGAACAGGTTAGGGAGGCAGGGACGAGCTGGACTGGTTTTGGGATGCGGT